CGAGTTTTTTAACGGGTCAGTTGATGTTTCAAGCACATAATAAAAACAAGATGAACCGTTTGTCAATTAAAAAAGTCGTTAACAGCGACTACCATGTTTTTTTACCATCGTTTTTAAAAATACTATAGTTTTTGACGTTGCATGATAAAATAAATATTTTCCAGTCGTTAATTGACCGAAAAAATCATTTATAAATCATAAGCTTATTGAAGATTATTTATACTCTGTGTTGTTCTACTATAGTTCATTATTAACATAATATACTAATAATTTCATTCAAAACACAGTCACCGTGCAAATTCTTTGATTACATTTTCATGAAATCTGAGGAACAATAAACAACTTTAAATCAGATAGTCATATTAGATACCTACAAGTATTAGTTAGAGAAACATTTAAATTTTTCCATTAAATCTATATTACTACTATTTCTTTAAAATTAATATATTAGAGACACACGTCATGTAAATATGTAATAGATGTAAATAGATAATGTTTTATAAGAAATTTGAATTAATAAATAAATACTAGTTATCAGGTATAGCCGCACATAATCATATTATATTATCTAATTGACTTTTGATGTAACGACCAATACAAGATCGATGTTGTAATCTAAAAATACGTTTACAAGATTAAATGGATAACTTTCTTCTTTGGAAACGAGTTTTATCAAAAAAAAAGTTTATTATTTTTTAAATTATGGGTTGTCCCCTCCCCCTAGTTTAGATCACCACCGACGTATGTGTTAGAAGTATTTATTTATTTTTCATTATTCTGAGAAACCGAATAAACGAGAAAGATAGAAAGAGAAAAAATGAAAAATAAAAAATGAAAAAGCGACGTTTCCTTTTTAGATTAAAGGAAATAAAAATGTTTAGAGTTTATACACAGAAGTCTCTAGATATTGTCCAGCTAACAAAATAAATAGCACTGCGCATATTTGCTATTATTATGAACCGTAAAACTGTTTTTGTTTAAGAATCATATTATACAAAAACAAATGCAATTCCCCTGACAATATAAGTGGTGCAATTTGTAAACGGTAAACTTCACAGTCATCGTTGGCGAGCGATGACTTACGAAAGTTCCCTGCGTTATATGCTAGTCGTTGCAGCCTATAATTATTTTAAATGAAAAATGTAATGATAGTATTACATACTCGCAATTGTGTTATTATTATAGCGTTTCTATTGTATGGCATTATGCAAAACCACTATTGTTCCTTAAACAAAATAATTCTTCGGAACCTTGTACTAGTAATATAAAAATAATGTGGTGTTGGGTTTGTATACAAATATTATAATCTATATAACTAAGTTTGCTGTGAACAAAACTTTTGTAGGAAGAAAACCACTTTGAACGACCTGCCAGTAGTTCTTACTCACTATAGACCCTAAGTCCTAAGGTACAGTGATGATAACTGATTTTTCGTATAATTATCAACTACACAGTAGTGGTGGGACTATTCGAATATTCGAATACTTTATTCGCACGAATATTCGTTATTCGAATAACGAATATTCGATCTGATTTTTCGAATATTCGAATATTTTATCATTTTCTTTGCAGGATTAATTAGATTTAAAGACAACTAAGGTGTTCTTGATCTATTTTTAATAATTTTTTAACAAAATAAATATAATTATAACGAATTATTCTTTTGACAAAATAAATATTATTACTTATTACAACAAATAAGATTTTAACAATTTATATAGATGTATGATTACAAAAAAACTATTCGAATAATTCGAATAATAGAAAAATTCGTTTCGAGGTCTCAGCTCTACTACACAGACACTAAATAAAAACTTATTCATCTTATACTAATAAAGTTATATCTCTTTCTGCCTGTCTGATTTATCCACGCTAAAAACAATAATTGTACATAACAATCGATGTCCTATCACTGATGTCGTAGATGTAAACTTGTTTTAAAACGATTAGGGTCATTTAAAGTCTTTAATAACCAAGAAGTTAAAAAATTAATAACAAAAATTAAGCACACATATGAAGGACACAGAGGAAAAACGGTAGTAGTCACATTATGAAAATTTTAGAATATAGCAAAAACAAAGTTCGTGAACTCCTCTCCCTCTTACATAAGAACAAAAAAAATCACATTAAATGATATTCTAATAAAAAATGTATTTATTTAAACAATCTATTGACATAAATAAAAAAAATTAAAGGCATACATTGAAAACAACTATTTGGAAAAAAAATTCATAAATGGACTATCTATCTACTATCGTTCCCCTGTGCCCTTCATGTAGGTAATTCATATTTTAACTGTATTTATTTAAAATTGTTTATCTTGTGTACTAATTAAAAAATAAAATTACGAATTAGAACATTATTTTAAAAAGTAATTTTTTAATTATATTGACTATCGATTGTATGACGAAAATTAAACTAAGTATTTCTCAAAAATGTTTTTGTTCTAGATGTATTCAATAACCGTTATTTTAGTTATAATTTGTAGATAATATGTACATAAATAAAGCATAATTGTGGAGTCAAAACAGAATGGAAATTTGTATATCATTTCGAATTGCATCAATTTTCTTGATCAGTTTGGTGACTATCATTTCATTTTTTACTGCACAGATTTCAAAATATAAATTTTTTTTTTGGTTATAATTATTTAGATTTTTACTTTTTTATAGTTTTTCTAATAAATCTAACCAATTTTCTAATTATTAAATGTTAGTAAGCTTCACATAAGAAAAGGAAAATTGAAACTCGCCCAATATTCATTTTTTATCAAACATTCGGCATAATTTGGAGAAAAATAACTTTATAAGTATTATACCTAGAAAAACTTAATATTTGTTTACCTTAAAATTAGTCGGCATATTAAAAATGGCTACTAGTTCAATTTTTGTCAAATATTACCTATCCTTTGCCGCTTAATAAATAGCGGTTTCCGTTTCCCTTAATAATGATGGTTTTTTTATTAGATCTTGTGTGATTAATCAACAAAATTTACACCGTAGATATTATATAAAACAAAGCTATCAAGTTGTTTGGTTTTTCCGGTATCGCACTGTATTTTTACATTTACTAATTTTACTTTACTTTCAAAATCCGTTGGTCGCCAAGTAGGAAATAATATCGTTGGTTTAGACATCTGGCGCCTTACAACCGAACGGTTATGCAACCGAAATTGCACGCAGCTCTTCCGAGTTCATGATTGTGGTGGGAAGGAGTTGTTTTTATACATTTTTTTTTCTTCAAAACATCATGTTATATCGGCGCACAAAAGTCTAGCACATCTTTATAGTGAGTTTCGACAAGAAAGAACAAAAGAAAACATATGTACTAAATAGTTAGTTCGTGTGACAGCGGTTATCAAAGCACAGTTTTCATGCTTAGCGATTTGCTTAGTCAAGTGTGATGGAGAAAAGCCACCGCGGTAACCCCAATACACTCAGATAGTGCTAGTCAAACAATGACACGGTCACCGACGACGGATGAAGTAACCGTACCTTGGTCTAATGTGGGTTAAATGCTTATATAACATTATATTGTACTAACTTGTAGAAATCAGTCACGATTGCGAAGGACAAGGTTGACGTTTGAGATCGTCTTTGTAAAATAATATATTTTGGTTATCTACGTAAACCATACTCTATTGTTGCTAATGTATGTATACAATTATGTATGTATACATCATTGTAGTTAATACAATAGACCCAGACTACACGTAGAACGTAAAAAGGGTGGATTTCTTTTATAAATAAATAGTTTTATATTGGAAAAAAACTTGAAATAAACATACGAACTTCTTAGTTTTGTATAATATATTTTAGATGTATGTGGTTCAGGTATGAGGTAGAACATTGGTTTTAAAAATAATTGATGTATATTGTATAAGTTAAAAAAACTAATTATATTTGAGATTATTAGAAATTGTTGTAGAACATTTTGTAGTGATAGTATTTCATTTCCTTCTAAACGTGTTTTTAATAGTAATAATAATAATAAACATTATACACTTTTTTATTTTTCAATGCAATTTTATTAAATGTACTATTTCTGTATGTATATGCAGCACAACAAGACACTATTTTCTTTATGTTTCGTCTTCTTCAGATTTTAATCGTTGCGTTTTTGTGAATTTTTGCAATTTGACTTTCATGCATTATGCAATGGACGATTATATATACTCTAATGTCAGTAGAATGCTCTTATTACATTCCTCGAGATCCGAAAAAAATGTATTTTTTCGTTTTATTATGATATTATTTTAATTTAAACAAAGTGCGCTTAATCTGTCTTAAATGCTTTCGTTTATTGTGCGTTCAACATACATAATAAATATCTATTATCAACAATTTAGTAGCTGAAGGAAGTTTCTCGATTATAAAAAACAATGCTTATTTTTTGTATTCGTGTTTTAAATGCACCAATTACTATAATAGATATATATAATATATATACCTATTTAGATATATATATACGTTTTGTAGAGGGAAATGTACGTTATATACTTTGATAACGAACCGTCTGTGCATTGTTTATTTATTACATTCTTTAACGATAAATAATTGTTTGCAGAGGTCAACGTATAACTCGTTCGGTTTTGGCTAAATACTAAATTATTAGAACATTAAAAAATATTAACAAGTATCATAATACACTAAATAAATATAACTTAATGGATACGCATTCGTTAAGTCTAATACTGATTTACATATATATATCTTAATTATTTATTTATCAGTACAAAGCCAATTCTTTAGATTAAAACTTTTTTCATTTAATAGATTATTATTATACCTCTATAAATAATTATTGGTTTGCTAATTAAAAAAACATAATACAAGACCAACAATTACTGCAAGAAAAATGAATTCTGAAAAGATGACGTTTACCACTTGAATAACATAATTTTTTTTTATTATTATTTCACAGCCATCAACGTACCTATTAGATAGGGTCAATTGTATCAAATAAACCATTGGCTAATAAGCATATTTATATTGTTTCAGGTGGTAAATCATGTGGGCAGAATGAGCCGGAGTCGTAGAAAACTGTTAATTTACGGACTGATTGCGGGCACGATTTTGCTGTTTGTGTACAACCTACGCTCGTGTCCCAAACTTGCTGAGCAAAATGTGTTTATGATACCAAAAGATGTAAGTATACTAATTTAAACAATGATACTTTTAATTGAAAATCGATTTCTATTCAATCATGGTGTCTTCTTGTGCTTTTTACTGTCAACAATAAAACTTAATAGAATCTGTAATCAGTGACGTTTTCAGGTGGGTGTCCTGGTAGCTAAAATACCCCCCCCCCCCAATGGAGAGGTCTAATACAATTTCTTAAATGTTGTATGTTATAATTGTAACCTAAAATTCAGAATTAAATACTGTTTAATTAATATAAGCATAGTAAGTTGTGTATAGTGTTGTTGGAAGTCAATCAATTATTTAAGATATATTGCAAACATTCAAGTGCTGTTATTTTATGTGACAATTTAAAAAAAATATAAAACAATATTCTAATAAGCCATGATATAATAAATGTGTCTAAAAATTATTAACCTACTGATTTATTACTTAACTCTATTTTTCAAAATGTTTACTGTTCCTATATGTTCAATATTAATCATATTTTAATATTTTTTGTTTATAAATAATCAAAATAAGTTGTCTTGCAAAGTGCCTAATTTATAAACGTTGTGAAAAAAAAATGCATTTGGAAAATATTTAATTTACGTTTTTGTATTTGACCCATTTTATATATATTATTTGATAGGGTTTTCAATAAAATATTAAACAGATAATTTATCATAACTTTCCCAAATGCAGTTAACTATTTTTCAATCAAGATTATTATATAATGTGCTGATTTTTTTTTTACGATCTCTTTGTTAGATAATTAATGATCTTGTTCACTGATTCATGTTAATATCGTAGACCCCTTTTTTTCACTTTATTCAGACAGTGATAGTGCTATGGGTAATGGCTTTTCTCCGTTATGGGCTAGTAATCTTCTTTTTGGAATCGTATGTAAAAGTAAATACGTTTCACAATAACAGTACAAACCGTGTTTCGTTGTTTAAAAAAAAAAAAAAAAAGAAGCAAAATAGGTAAAAAATGACTTCAGTCGGAACTCAAAGGGAGTGTAATCGGCTTATTGTATTGTGAAATGTATTAATAGCTGAACTCATTTCGAAACATATCACATTCAAATACGTTGTTAGGACTTACATTCTATTTAAAATATACTGAACAATTTTTGGATAATCGCAAACGTTTCTGCTTTAACTGTTTGTTTTTTCGATTTTTTTTATGTGCTTAACATAAATGTTTTTTTATGTAAGAAAATAAATCTCTGTCCATATTTTGTACCTAAATAAATGTTTTAAACCTACACGAAGTCATTCAAAATACTTATTTTTCAAGACAATCAATTAAACTGAGATAATGATGTAGGTATTCTTTTACTACTCTGAAATCCTAAGCATAGTTTTACTGTTTTAGTATATGTTATAGTAATAATATGAAAACTTCAGTTTGTAAACAGATGACTAATCGCTTACTTAACAATGCTTGGACCAATCGAACATCTATGAATTGATTAAATATCTATGTGAGCATTGTCTTTAATGATTTGGCTTCAAGACCTTGCTTCGAAGTTAAACTCATTGTAGTATAAGTGCTCATCCTTAAATCTCACTTATGATACCACAACAATAAATTATACACAATTAATACAACTTTGTTAGATATGGTAATCTTATGGCCAACGATTCCAATGTTCGATAGTATATTTTAGTAAATTGATTGGGGCAATTTCATATATTAAACTTTAACTATCCGAAATAGTTTGAATAGATGTCGTTAACGAACTATAATTATTACATAGTTAATATATTGAATACCAAATTTGATTTGGAATGATTTTATTTTAACGTTATTATTTTTTCTTGAACAATATGTTGTTTAAAATAGTGGGTTTCAAGTTAAAATTATTTCTTTGTAGAATTGTTTAGCCCCACTTGCCCTTTTTGATTGCAGTTATCCCCCATTACACAATGACTGTTTGCTCATGTTGGATATCACTATTGCTAACAGTTATAATATATCTTTGACGCTGAATATTTTAAAAGTTATTATTATTATTTCTATACTTAATTATTATTGTTACTGACAAATCTCTTTTTTCGGTTCGCTAGAAATTCGTTACTGACAAAAACTTGAAGACATACACTTACGACCGAGACATGCCGTTGATATTCATCGGCGGCGTTCCTAGGTCCGGCACGACTCTCATGAGAGCAATGTTGGACGCACATCCGGACGTCCGGTAAGTTTTTGACTGTAAACTACCTCGAGTGTAGAGCGGCAACTATATAAGTGTTCTTTAAACTGTCTTGTAGGTGCGGTCAAGAGACTCGGGTTGTGCCGAGAATTCTGCAAATGCGCAACCACTGGTACAAATCGGCCAAGGAGTCGTTGCGGCTTAAGGAAGCTGGAGTGTCTGAGGAAGTGGTCAACTCGGCCGTCGCTTCGTTCATTCTGGAAGTTATCGCCCGGCATGGTGTGCCGGCGCCTAGGCTATGCAACAAAGACCCATTGACGCTCAAGTCAATGGACTATTTGAAAGTGTTGTTCCCAAACGCCAAATACATATTTATGGTGCGTGACGGCAGAGCTACAGTGCATTCTATTATATCACGGAAAGTGAGTTTGTAAATTGTAAAACTGTCGTCTAACACGAAATCGTATGGAATCTTAACATTGTTTTAAAACTGTGATTAAAGATGGTGCAATCTTAGCGTACGTTTATATTACATTTGCAACTTTCCTGATGTCTAGGTGACAATCACTGGTTTTGACTTAACTAGCTACAGGCAGTGTTTGGAAAAATGGGACGACGCCATCAGTATTATGTACAAAAACTGCCGGAAAGTCGGTTCATCGCACTGTATGATGGTGTACTACGAGGAACTCGTACTGAAGCCTCGCAATACTTTAACGAATATACTGAAGTTTTTGGACATACCGTGGAACGAAACAGTGCTCCATCACGACGAAATGATTAACAAGCCCGGAGGCATCGCCCTGTCGAAGTGAGTATTGGTTGCCTATAGCTTGGCATATTTTTTTATTTGCATTAATATCAGATTTTGGCTAAAACCGGGAAGTTTTTTGAAAAGTCTGACCAGGTTTAACCTGGGGTCAAAAAACCTCACTGAGCGTTTTTGGTCTAGAATTTTCTTTTTCAATAGATTTTCCTGGCCTTGTTTAATGTTAATGAAATTCATCACATCTTAAAATAAACCATTTGCCGTTTTCACTTAGGGTGGAACGATCGTCCGATCAAGTGGTGAAGCCTCTGTACCAGGAAGCGTTAACCAAATGGGTCGGTAAGATTCCGGACGATGTGGTGGCTGAAATGGACGAAATTGCGCCTATGTTGTCCGTGCTTGGATACGACCCCAATTCCAATCCGCCAACCTATGGAATTCCGGAAAACGAACAACGAAGCACTAGTTCTAATCTAGATTCTCCACAAGAAAAGTCATCCGCAAGATAGTTATTTGTAAATACTATCAGTAATAGAAATCGACTTTTTTTAATCGTGTTAATTAATTGTGTATAATAAAAAAAAATGAAATTATTATCTAGTGCCTGTGTACATATATTTCCTCATGTTGGGTATTATAGTTAAATATTATATTATATTTTTTTTTGTACTTAAATTATTATGTTGAACAAATAATAGGCGCATTTCCTGTACATTTTTTTAAAAATTATATGTTATTTATTATAAATAAAATGTAATTGACAATCTCTTAAAAATTTACAACTATTTGAATAATGTTATTTTTCCAACCAATATTTCTGTTACTGCTATTGCATAAACCGCTTAAATTATTAGATTTTTTTATTGAAAAACATTTTAATTATTAAATTTTCAAATCACAACAAAACGTATGCTAACTAATAATAAACGCTAATATTAAAAAAAAATACTTTTTCTTATTATGATTTTACAATCGGTAGATCGCTGATGTTATTTAGATCAAATTAAGTACTATTTTAAATTAAAAAAGTAAGTAAGTTTTTAAGTAAAAAAAAAAAGAGTTGTTAGATAGAGCTTTTTGTTAAGAGGGATTATTTGGTTAACTATCTCAACTCTATGAAGTTACTTGAAAACGAAACATGAATCCTATACAATACTATGAATTGAAAAATAAACTGGGATAATATTTTCTGTGTTTTGTGTTTATATATAAAATAATAACCGTTAAAATTTTGAGTATCAGTTAGTTAAAAATATACATAAATAGTACCTTATTACATAGTTGTATGATTTATGTATATTACACTTTTTCGTTCTATGTGTATTAGTTTGTAACTTCCAAATAAACTCACCGAAAACTCGAAAATTTACAATATAATGTTTAAAAAAAATTGTTCATTATGTCAGTTCTATTTTAACTACTCTTTGGCTGCCAGTTTTCACGTTCAAGTTTTCGACAATTATTTTTACTACATATCTATAATATAATCAATCACATTAAGAAAATTTAAATGATCACAAAAAGTTATCACCTATACTAGATACCTATTACATTATCTTTGCCCTTTAGCTATTTACCTATCTTGTCCCTTTAGCTAAAGTAGTAGGTACATAACTATTATGATCCTACATAGTCATGATACTAGTCTACATCATAATCACCCAGTTAATTTTCTTGTCTTAAAACTCTTCAGAGTTCAAAATGTTTAGATTATTTGACTGTATTTAATTCATTAAATACTACAGTTGTTATGTTAAATAAATAAATATTTAATGTTTTTTAATTAATCACTTTTTTCAAAATGAATATATTGATATCATGTCATTTGTACAATAAATGTACACTGGACGAATTTAATAAAATTATAATTAAAAATAGTTAGTATTTGAATTTATGTTCTTATTTTATTTACTGTTTATTTTGAAACTTTTCTTTGCCTAAAAACACAAGAAAGAACTTGTTTTCGTTTTTTGAAATGTTTAATGGAAAATTTAAGTAATTGATATATTTCTAAAATATGATAAAAATATTATTAATAGTAGTTATTAATTTTTTTAAAAACTATTATTTGTCAGGTCAAGTTCAATAATTTTAAAATTTATTCAGACGAATGTTGCCAGAATTTTATATCGTTATGAGTTGTTGTTGATTTATAAATTGTCATAATATATAATACAAATAATACATTTTCATTCATCAATACAAAAGAAAAGCTTATAAGAGTACAACATTTTAAAGGTAATTATATTTACCAATTATTAAATTTAATTGCAAAACTCTTCCAACAACCAAATAAAAACAAACATTTTATCCTGACTAATATATATATTATAACATTTGGTATGTAATATAATTGTTTTAAATAATTGAAAAGGGTAGTTTTATTAATTCATACTAAGTAATTATATTATAAATTACCGAAAAAAGTGCATAATATACAATAAATACTTTAAATAATATAGGCAATATATGTGTATAATTTATATAAATATATAAGGTATAATAAAGTACATAATATCGCACCCTTTTAATACAAACAGAGTTAATCAAAATATGTCGATTTTGAGTTGGCTTTACTACTGGCAGCGCCAGAAAGATGTTTACTATTTGCACTAATCAGTTTATTCCTACCATATTTATTAACCACTAGTTAGCTTTAAATGCCTTTCCAGGTGTCATTTAAGTCAGTTACCTCCTAAAACCTTTAATTCCATTTTCCCAAGAATAACACTTTGTGAGTTCTGCCGTTTGTTTTCTAGGGGTGCGATATGTTATACAAAGTGTAATAGTGTAATAGTGTTATAATAGGATGCTAAAAATACAAACTAATGCATAAAATGCGTATACATTATACATGATCCAATCAAAAGTATTTTTATTAATTTTAAAGAAAAATTAGCTATGTCCTTAAAAGTTAAATACCTAGACAAACTGATAACTTACAAATTGACAAACGCTAATAATCTAACAAAATAAAAACAATAGTTTTATACTACCTAATATCTATGTGTTTATAACATTAGGGTCTAATCTATTTTTTTTTATTCATACTAAGTTATTACAATAATAATTATCGAAGAAAATGCATAATATACAATGAATGTTTTATATAATATAGGTGATGTATGTGTATAATTTATATCGATATATAAAGTATAACAAAATACATAATATGTTATTCAAAGTGTTATATCATAGGATGCTAAATATACAAACTAATGCATAAAAGGTGTATACATTATACATGATCCAATCAAAAGTATTTTTATTAATTTTAAAGAAAAATTAGCTATGTCCTTAAAAGTTAAATACCTAGCCAAACTGCTAACATACAAATTGACAAACACTAGCAATCTATCAAAATAAAAACAACAATTTTATACTACTTATTATCTATAAGTTTATAACATTTAATGTCTGATAATTTTTTTTAATTCATACCATGTAATAATTATAATACAAATTATCAAAAAAAGTGCATAATATACGTTAAATATTTTATATAATATTGGTGATATATATATATATATGTGTATAATGATTAATGTATATATATATATATATTTATATAAGGTAGGTACAATGAAATACGTAATATGTTTTTAAAGGTGTTTATATAATATAGGCTGCTAAATATGCAAGCTGAGGCATTAAATATGTACACAATATGCATAATCTAATCATGATTATTTTAATTTAGTTTTAAGAAAAAATGTTATCCTCAAAATTTAAATAGCCTAAGAGCTAACTTACAAATTGTCAAATACTAGAAATCTAACAAGAAATCGCAATAATAATAATAATAATAGGTAATAAATACCTAATAATCTATTGTTTTGTCAAATATTTTATTATGTAGTCAGTATTATTCGTTTCGTAGTCTTCTGCTCCTCTGATCTGGAGAAATTCATAATTTAAAAATTCCATATCCCTGTGTCAAAAAAATTCAATATTTAAGTTAATTTCAAATAATTATTTATGTAAAAAGACGATTTTTTTTTTACATGACTGAGACCAAAGTATTACCAGATGTAGTTTTATAAGTGGACACCGACATGTTTTTACCATTTTTAGTAGTATTGTAGGCTCACTGTAATGGGAAACCCTAGTTCCGCCTATGACTCTGCGTTGTGTATAACACTCCTTAACTAAATGTTGTGAACCTTAACTAGAGTATTTTTATAATAAATCTATAGTGTATAGGTAAAAAAACTATAGTGAAGTGCAGGGCTGTATACTATAACTGTTTTGTGATATTCTTAGACAAAAAACGTCTTATAAAATGTTTACAACTTACAATGATCTGACTTTAGTTCAATAAATATTCGTTGTGTTCGTAAGCCTCATCACTAAGTTTTCTATTGTGTAATTTTTACATTAAAAAAAAATTCCCAGCTCCGCATCGAAGCTTAAAGATTATTTAAATTCAACAAAATAAATCGAACGTTTAACGTTTTTTATGGGTTTTATTACTAACTTAATAATCCTTAGATCCGTGTACTTGATTTTTGTTGACCAAAAATAGCTATTATTGTTGTCATACATACAAGGGGTGACGGAAACACGACAAAACGGATATAACATAAAGTTTGACAAGATAAAATTACTAAACAATAAAGCTTACTTTGGAAAGAGGGTGTTTAAAGAAGCATTATAATTTAACAAATTCACACAAAATATCAATAGAGAAGTTGCGGTTGGAAATTTAGTAGTACGTGGAAACAAATTATTCATCGGAAGTAAAAGAAACAAACAAATTAAACTAACTGATAAATGACAAACAATAGAAGTAGCTTGTAGGAAAAAATGAAGCAGCCAGTTAAAGTATGGACCCTACAAAACGTCCGAAACGTCAGCAAAAATTCAAAGACGTTATAGATACATTCGAAGATTATTAAGTTAATCATTTTTGGAATTGTTTTTGTTGAAAACGTAATTTTTCTACCACAAAACAACGGTCTTCAAAACCCTATTAAACCAACAAACTTGTATGTTTTTACAAATGAATAAATTTGTAATCTGACAAAATTCTGTACTAAACTGTACAAAAACAGTAAACTCCCGATCCCATTAAGAATATGAAACGATTAATCGTAAAAATAATTGAATTTTCTGTTTGAAAGCTTCATGTCAATATTAAACATTATAAAAATAATTGGAAATTGGTTTACCTAATTTCCACTGCATTTGAAAGATCCGGTCTCTTAAAGACAGATACAGCTAGTTTTAGTGATATCCAAATATTTTCCCATAAAGCGTTTCTTTGTGCAGTATTATTCTTAACCACTTCTTGGTAGTTTAAAGCTATTATAAAATGATCTGTTGCTTCTCTAAAATAATAATTATTAATTAGCATAAATTTTATTGGATAGTAGTACGTAGTTTAGACTAATGTGCAATACCTGTAAAATCCAAAATAAATACATAGATGACCCAGGTTATAACGAGCTTTTACAAACCCGGGATTTAATCTTATTGCCTCACGATATGCTTCTGTAGACTTTTCATATTTTCGAAGTTTTGCAAACGCTGCTCCAAGACTACTCCATATGAAAACATTCTGAAAAATGATTAAAATCAAATTTTGACTATCGTAGAATAAAAATAAAATCTAAGATTTGGTTATCAAGACATAGTATGCAATTTAATGTTAAATTTACTTTAAAATATGATGTTTTAAAAAAAACAGAAAGAAAAGTACTTTTGTAGTTTTAAAAAAAAAAACCTGCGATTGTTTAATTTGGTGACAGTAAAAAGGAGGAGGCGCTTCCCTCAACTTCAATAAGTAATAACTGTGGTAAATTACTTTGGGATCAATTTTGAGTGCGTCATCAAAACAAACAATGGCTTCATCGTAATCATTATTAATGTAATGAAAAATTCCAAAGTTAAAATAAACGTCCACGTCATTTTTTTCCAATTCTTCATTTCGCTGAATAGCATCCGTATACATGTCCTTGATGGGTTGATTCAATTGCCTAAAAGTTAATTATAATATACAAATAGTTGCAGAGTATTCCTTGTTCTAGAGCCCGGTTCTACCCAAGCACGACATTTTCATTTTTTTAGGTAGGAGAGAATTCTTATGAGTATGTAATTTCATATACTTGCATATGTATTTATTTAAAAAATACATGCTTACTTTATAAGTAAATTTTTATCGATTTTTTTTTCATCTGGTAAGGGAGTTGAATCAACAATATCTTTGTATTTTGGATTTCTTTTCAACAACTCCTAAAATCGATAGAAAATAAAATAGCAATATTCGAAAAAACCCTTTTACAAAGACTATATGAACAAAGACGAAATTGGATATGGAATAAGATCAATTTATAGACCCAAATTATAATATGGTAGTTATGGGTTTGCTCAAGAGCCAACGGCTAGGTTGGTCGGACACGTATGTAGTGCGGAAGGCCAACTTAGAGTCACAGATTAAGTAGAACGCCATTAGTACAGCGAGAGGATCGAATCTTTGAGATAAAAAATTAAAAGCACAATTTTTGAAGTCTGGAATATTAATATGGTGGAAGTAATAGATCAGAAAGAATTATAAACGTGTCTATTATACACATGCTTTGGATGTGCTTGTGATGCAATTGGTCGCTGGAATTATCCTCTAAAAAATCATCGAATATTGAGATGGACTATAAGTGAAAGGTATAAGCGTATGACTTGAACAAAAAATGGTTTCAAGAACATCACATTTATTAAAGGTCATTTATTGGTAACCGATTTCCGCAAATCCTAAAAACCCTAAAAAAATCACATAAATTACTAAAAAGATTAAGTATAATAATTGATTTACCATGAACATTCGATACGTTTCCACTAAATCATTGTTACTCAAATGACAAAGAGCCAAGCAACGTATAACACTCTGGTTGTTAGGTTGTAATTTTAAAGACTCGTTAAAATTCTCTATAGTACATGTAATCTAAAAATGATATAATATATATAAATAAGTATTTAAGATACTATTCAGTTTTCCATGAACTAATTAAAGAAAGCAATACTTTTTTATTTTCAGCGTGGAAAATGCCTAAACGTTGCCATTCACTTGTATTTGACTTATCTATCTCTGTAACTAATTCCATGTAAATCTCGGCTTTTTTCCCATTACCCATTTTCCAGAATTTTATTCCACTGGCAATTAGACTTTCTATATTCTTTTTCTTGATTCCAGATTAAATTGTTATTGAAAATTAAAAGGTAAAATATTAACTATGGCGAAATTGAATTAATAAAAAACAATGTATAATGTAAATCTAAATTGTGTAAACAGTTACACAACAATACAAATTAACTAACAATCATTCGAAAACACTTACTCGCTTGTTCGATAAATTTTCCTCAAACTGTTTTATTTGAAATTCTTCCAGATCGTTTAAAAATTGTATAGTATCTGTGTATTCATTTTGCGGTACCGGCCGTTCTATAGATGCAATCGGAACGTTAAAATCCAACAAAAACATTATAAAATCATGTTCCGTCTTATAACCATATCTAATAGGAATCCTGGATGACGGAGTTCTTTTGAGATTGTATTGGATCGTCATTGAAATATTCTAAAATAACAGTTTATTTACACAGTTAAATAATTTACTTAATAATAATAGCCATTCTACTTATTTTTTATTAACTAATATTGATTTTTATTTTAATAAAATAAATGTGCATGTTATTTTATTTCAGTAATGATTTTTTTCTTATACCTGTTAAAATATATAGTATTCGGTATATTAATATATTTAATATATTAAAAGCGCCTGTTGTTGCTTTTGTGCATGCGAAAAAATAGGCAGTCGGCATATTATATAAACAAAGTAATTATAAAATTGTAGGTCTAGTTTTCTAAATTTCATTTTTTTAATTGCTATGTGTCTATTGAGCATAATGTGGTATACTGGTTTACATGACAAGTGATATGAAATAACTTTGACAAAAAAGGCAAGACAGAAAAAGATTAATATTCAAATGAAAAGCTACAGCTAATTCGTTTATTATCGGCAAATTACTTACATATTTTATACTCGGATACCGTATTAGTTGAATAGCTTTAAAATTAAGTTATAATAAAACAATTAGATTTTACAAAAAAAAAACACAAATTTGCGTCATCAGAGCTGTATTTTAATCATTCATTGTATAATTTAAAATATCAACACTTTTTTATTTTGTAAGCATATTGTAATTTAGTTATAATTACCCCGTGGTATTCACTACGTATTTCAAAATGGACATTGACATTACCGACGTCTTCTTTGTCATAGTCAAGTAGATAAATCAAGTCATTCATACATCTGAAATACCCCATGAAAATATTAATGTTAACATAATAATTCTTAAGAATAATTAATCAAAATTAAGTTATTAATCAATTACATTTCGTTAGATGGTTTCAATCTGGGGTTTTCCACGATAACGCTGAAATTAAGCTGTCGACAATTTTCTTCGAGTAATTCCCAAATACTACCACCAAAAACACGTTGCTAAATAAAAATATAACTATAATTATAATACGATAATATTATGTTTATTTGTACACTAAATATTTTTATATATAATATTATTGGACAATATTTAAATTTGTATCTTGTTTATTATTTGATAGAGCTTTAACAACTTTTGAAACTTAAATGGTAATTTATATATTTAATTGAATTTTTAAACTAAGAATAATTTACTGAAAAAATTGACTGGTCGATAGCCAGTTTTGAATAATTATTTTTCAAGTTATTTAGGTTTAAAATTTAGGACGAGAGGTGGATTGCGGTTGAGAAACGCTCGCAGATAAAAATAACTCTACTCTCCACCCTTCGTCCTGTCCTAAATTTAAAACTATTTATTTAAAACTGGTTATTGACCAGTCAACATTTTTAGTACACTATTCTCAATTAAAAAAGTTCATAAAATATATACACTACCTTTCAAAATTCAAAAGATGATAATGCTCTAGAAAATACTAAAAAAATTGAATATTGTCTAATTTTGTTATATAGCATAAAACAAATTTAAGGCTTTAATAGAATCACCCGGTACATATGTATAATATATTTTGAAGGCTTAAGAGTAACTTTAAACACGTAAGGGTTTGGCCGAAAAAGTGATTACTGTCTTATTTTTACTATTATAACTCGTTTCCAATGATCTGCTCAGTTTAATAGTTGACATTATAATAAAAAAGTAGATATATTATAAGTTTTCCAATTGTTTTTTGGGTGTTTAAGCCTAGACCCTTTAAAATGATTGGATATTAGTTATATATTATAGAATTTACCAACTTGATATGAATTCAATCTACCCTACTCAGGGCCGGCGCAAGGCTAAATGACGCCTCACGCCAAAATGCCAACTGGTGCCTTTTTCATACAACAAAAAAAATGTGTAAAATTTTAAAAAGCAATTTCGGCGCCCCCCTAAGAATGGCGCCCTACGCGACCGTCTACTCGCCTTACCCTCACGCCGGCCCTGACCCTACTCTAAAGCCATCATAAAATCTATATACTATTATATTTTATAATACAGACAATGTAGTTGTTGAGCAATTCTTCTTTCCATTCTTGATCAGGACTGCTGATACGACTTTCCGGAGATCTCATTTCTGTTGAACAATTGCCTAATGTAGAAGGTTTTTCGAAAGCAAAAGCTTGTTCCTCCATCTAAAAAAATAAATTAATATTATATCTACTAATTTTCAGTAAAACAAGACGTATATTTATCGTTAGAAAACGAATTTACTTAACTCTTTAATCAGTTGGACCAACATAATGATCCACCGGTTATTTTTATCTATAAGCTTGCCACAAAGATTCCTTTTGAACTAATAATAAAAACTATTCTGAAGGAATCTAAATTTTAGTTTTTCTTTCATGTGTAGAAATAATGCATTATAAAATGTTCTGCATATTATAGAAACTACTTTTGTTCGGTTCTTTCTCGAAAAGCGCAATTATTTAATTTAAGTTAAACAAAATAACAAGTTCTTAAGATTTGTATGCTTAAATTACCTGCGTTTTCAGTAAAAATTAAATAAATTTCAATAAATATAATATACATTTCCCTGCAACATGGGATAATGCATTGCTCTTCTTAAATATGGTCTCGATTATGAAATTTTAGTATTTTAATAGTTAAGAGAGTTTTTCACTTTCTCCTTCAAATACAAGAGAAATGAGCTACGAATTCTTTTCAACTTTAATTTCTGCACGCTAAAACTAACCAAAACATAATCAAAAATAATAGAGATATTACGTTATGCTTATACTCTTTATTGGTTAGTTCCAAATTTCATTGAGATATCTCTTAAATATCAGTGAATTTCTTAATCAAGGTGAACCAAACAACTTTTTATAAGTAATATTGCATACGAATACTAATAATATTATACAAGTACACAACATAAATCACAAAACTATAAGTCACTTTTTAGTAATAATTAGAGTAAAATAATCATAAATTATTGAAATTTGTTTTTAAAAATACGTTTTTAATGGGTTTTTTCCGATAAAACTCTATTAAACCACCCAGGCAGTATTTCATAAGACATCAAACGGGTTTCTGGTTTTTTAGGTCTTATTCTGAAAAACCCATGGCTTCGGGTATGGTTTTTTTTTAAAAAAGCCCGGGTTTTTATCAAATTTCGTTTCGAGTGATCTAGTTTTAGGAAAAACCAACAAATTCTAAAACAGTCTTTGTGCAAGCTTAACTGATTTGACTACGCATAGTAAAGAAGGCTTTAAACTATAGCACGATATTCGACAGTAAATCAGAACTCAAGGCCATTAACCAACAGCCAACATAACGAGCAGAATTGAAGTTTGTTGTGTTGCTCTGCACAAAAAACCTAATACACGCAAGGCCTTAAAAGCCATGTTATCAATATGGATTCTGTAAGATATATATATTGAGTACATAGGAAACTACGGTCGTTAACTTGCTACAGGTAGGTTCAATGTAACACGTGAAGTTAACCAGGCTATATTGTTTTCGATCCACAGAGCAACCTTTATTAATAGTGTTAGAGAATTTAAGTTTCCAAAAAAGCTAGCCAATCTTGTAGAAGCAAGTATAAATGGAACAAAGATTAAAATAAAGCTAGCAAATACATCTAGTGGAAGTAGCGACAGGCCTAAGACAATGGGATGCGCTTTCCCCGATATTGTTTAACTTAGTGCTGGAGAAGATAGTAAGGGAAATTAATTAACGTGAAGGGGCTGATCTAGGTCGATTGACAATTGATATCCTGGCGTATGCGGATGATATTGCTATATTAGGAAGGAGTAGAGAGATGGTAATACAAATGGGAAAATCACTTATAAAGGCTGCTGAGAAAGTAGGACTTAAGACTAACGAAGAAAAAACGGAGTACATGATGGTTAGCCGGAAAAATGGGAATTAGGTACAAGAAGAAGTCATTAAAGTGGAAGAATACAGGTTTAAAATAGTAGACTAATTCAAATACCTAGGGTCGTTTATAACTCAAGATAATGACATAAAAACAGAAATATCGATGAAATTACAATCAGTAAATAGATGTTTTTATGGACTAGAAAACATTTTTAGATCAAGAGCGATCTCTAAGAACTTAAAAGTCAGGATGTACTTAACCTTATTAAGACCAATTACCCTTTATGCTGCAGAAACATGGTCTTTGAGAAAAACCGAAGAACATAGGATGGCAGTGTTTGACAAAAAAGTACTCAGGAAAATATATGGGGCATACTTAATGCTCAGACAGATTAATGGAGAAAACTACACAACGACGAACTGCAATCCCTTTTTCAGCGGCACCGTCTTTGGGTGATTTATTAAAAATAATACAGAGGCACCAATAGAAAACTTTGCGACACATAAGAGTAAAAAAACAGCTATACCATCAAGGCCTATTTCATCGAGTTATCTTAAACAACTAAGTGCGTCGAGAACTACATTTTGATTAAAATCTACTTTAGAGGACAAAAAATTAAATTATTTTGTGAGTATGTCAATAAGTGATAAGCTTGTGGATTCATAAGGCAAACTATTAACTGAAGCCAAAATATATTAGCAAACAAATCAGCTACATGAGCTTCATGAGCTGCATGAGTCTTAGCTTTTCTTTGCGTGCGTAAATAAGAGAATCTGGAACAATCGTGTACTAAAAAACAATAGAGCAATATAGTGATTTATTAATATTGATACAATATTTGAATAGATTTTACCATCTATAGATAGTATTTATTGTATCGAGATTTTATTGCTTTGAGCTATAATGATAATTTTTAAGACCCGTCTCATTAAGTTTCGGCCAAAAGTTGATTTAGTAATTTTGTAAGTGTTTAATACCTCCCTGCAACAATCCGCGCCTGCCCAGAACCTCCTGTGCTGGTTTTTACTTTACAAATGGCGGCGTATACTACTTGATTTCCGAAATTATTTTATTGTGATGTATTTAAGCGCAAAAAGTTATGAATACACACGGAAATATTTAAGTATACACCTCGGAGCCGATTCGGCTTTTGTGTTTTCTTGAAAACCTCAATATAACAGACGCGGCCGGTAAGCAATAAACGCGAGCGTCTCGTACCGAAGAGCGACGCCGCGCAGAGCCGTCGACACTACGCGCAGGACCTTATTTACGCAAAGACATTATGGGTATTTGTCCAGGGCCTATGCGGATCAGGGGCCCACCTACTAGATTTAATCCTTTTATTTAATAGTTTTATTAATATTACAATAATAATGGGCTGATTTTTTTCTTTTGTCCGGGGCCTCAAAAATTCTAAATCAGGCTCTGACTACGCGGTTATATGTGTGTTGACGTACAATTTATTCCGAGTTTAAAAAAGCTATAGAGAATATTGATACATACGTACTTTGAGTGTATTAGATTTGCTAGAGATCCCAAAAAGTCGGTTGACTATTCGGTTGACAGGAACCGCGAACAGGTTGAATGAAAGACGACGGCGTTCTCCTAAACACGTATGTATACCTCTACTGTTTGTGCAACAATACCAAACGGCGGCCGCTGTGCAACAATATCCGACGGCCGCTGTTTGGCGCGTCGAGCTAGCGAGCGCTGTCTTGCGGCCGGTAACGCTACCTTACGATCAATAAACGCCATTATAAAGAGACGTGAGGAGAATACATCTTCAACACCGTGGATATTCACTGTAATATTTGTACTCTCAAAATGGTTGGTTGTTTGCGCAATGCGCATACATGTGGATTATTGATGCCAAGGGTGAAGGGACTGAGGTCACGAGTAACGCGCATGGTTACAATTGACGCACCAACTTTTCCAGGACATGTATCCAAATCTTATCACGCTGAATACTTAATACTATACGAATATTACAAAAATTCCCAACACCGTTTTAAACCTGTCTATATTAAAAATTATTAATACATGGTATTGGACGGCTAAATAAAATCGCTGTGAAAAACTTAAATGTATTATGTATATCTATATAAAGTATTCAATTGAAAAATTAAATATTGAGAAATTAAAAAAAACATCTTGAAAACATACAATTCTAAACGTAATCTACTAATTTATAAAAAAAAACTTTGACTGTACAGCGGTATCATAAAAATTATGAAGTACTTTTTAGTCCAATTATTAGCACTAATACATTATATTATCTTCCAAAGCTTCACATTCACGAGTTACAAAAATGCATGGATTAGTTAAAAGTTACTTTATTACATAATGAGTTAATTTTAATACCAACAAAGTCACTCTAAAACGTTAATTTATGTAACAAATAAAAGATCATCGTGTACCTATTTATCAATTATTAGAATGTATTACTTATGTATTTTGAATCATTGTCCTTGTAAATCATTCATATCACAATGTTTACAAATTGGGATTTTTAAAAAACAAAAATGCTTATCACGTCATATTTGTAATATTAGTATATTCTACCACGATATATTTATTAATTTATAGCTTAGATGTTAATGGCCATCAATAATAATATTCATTAATATTATTAATATTCATCAATAATATGCATTTGAAAATATCAAAATAATTGTAACTAATTATTTATTTTTAATAAAATATAAAAAAACTAAACATTGAATGTGAACAAAAGTGGCTGTATTTTTTCTTAGTGGGGTGACTTATGAATAACTGCCCCCTCTCAAAAAAAAATACCTACAATTACCTACATTGTCGCAGCGTCGGCTGTATATCATATACAAATACCACCTTATGTTTGTTTTTTATAATAAATTATCTAAAAAATGTTTTTTTTTTCAATATTACCAACCAACAATTGTATAATTAGAAAGCTCCAATTTTAATATTTTACTTACAAATATGAAATCTATAAATAATTATTATATGCAAATAAATGCTCAAAAAATTCAGATATATACAAAATAAGTTTGTAAGTAAGATTAAATCTAGACTAATTGAATTTATGTTATATTTAAGTATACTTCTGATTGTGCTAAACAAATATGCATAGTCATAAACATCAGAGCTCTAATTATTTATTTTTATTGAAATATCAGCATAAACTATTTATTTCTACAATTACGGATGTTAAATTAAATTATGTAGCAACTATTATTATTATAAATAATTGACTTCTTCTAAAAATATAATAGTGGACATTGTTTTTGAAATTATTTGTATACATATTGTATCAAATTGGGTTATGCTACTTTATCATCATGTAAACTAATGGATAACATTTAAATATTGTCTTAAAATGTAATCTAATTTTATCTATCAACGTTTGCATGTAAGGTCAACATGATTCAACCTATGGGAAAAAAAGTATAAAGTTTCATGATAACATTTTTTTTAATTTGTTTACAATATTTTATTTGGTTTGCAGATTCTTATTATTATTTTTTTTACCGTTTAAAAAATTTTTAACTATGTTGGGTACCTTTTTTATTCTTGAAAAAAAGTTTTTATGATAGTTTTGTGAGTTTTTTTAATGAAAATATATAATGTTTTAATTTGGTAGGGTCCATGGCATTAGTAATATTCATATGTTTTAAAAAAAAATTAAGAATTTGAACTTTTGATATGAAATTGACAAAAACAACCTATAGAAATGGTTTTAAAAATCTAAAAAAAATATCAAAAAATGTATTTTTATCCAAATAATATATTCTTAAGAGGCTGTGAGACCTCCTATTTATTAAAGAGTGAAGCCCAACGTAACATTAAATCAGCATTATATCTGAACACAAAAAATAGTTAGTATGGTATGGTTATAAAATGTAAAACAGTATCTATTATTCAGCTTAAAACATTTTAATTTTGAATTGTAAGATAATCATAAAATATAAACCCAACCAAGGGAAAACCTACAGAATAAATCAGATGTGGAGATATGGAGGTTCCTAAAAATCACTTTCGTGTATCTGTGCTAACTGCTAAATAATTCTTAAAAGACCCAGCCATATTATATTTAGCCATTATTTTCATGTCAAAGCATATCCTATAAAAACACGACAACATTAGAGAGGACGTCTTGTCATATCCTTTATAAATAAGTAATAGTAAAAACGTGTAGGTCTGAGCAAAATGGTCATGAAAAAATGTCGATACCGTTTATAAGAGTAGAACATTAACTAGATTCTGTTGTCGTTATTTTTAGAAAACTTAAATTTTACCTAAAATACAAGCACATACAATTTTTTTTAAAAATTCAACATTTAAATATATAATTTGTATGTTGGATTAATAGTATCAAAAAAAGCTAACGAGAGAACCTAGACAAAGTTCTCATTATTTTGAATATGTAAAAAAATTATCTAATATTATTTTTTAGCCAAAAATAGAGAATATAAGTAGCTATGTTTCGAAGAATTTTTTTTAAATCGCTGTCAAGGATGCTAGGTCAGTCCGACAAATATTCTAACTACTAAAAAAAAGAGTCCAAATTACTGGGCTGATAATTATATATTATGAAAGTTATCTTTAAATTAATATTTTGCAAAAAATTGCCTAAACCGAACGCCTTAATGAATGACGGCCTCTTAACATTTAATAATACTATTGTCTATTTTTTTATTTATATATTATGTCGAAATGATACATTTTTGTTACGTTTTTCCGTTCAATGTAAAACCAGATTTTGGCATTCGAGAAGATTAACACAACAGACCACGATTAAATAGTAAAAGACCGATCAAGTATTATTTTTACTACAAACGACCGAGGCATAACAAGTTTCAGCACACGAGGACGGAGTTAACTAGTTTATAGTCAAACAAATAAAGTAGGTTACAGGACAATTTGATAGATTAATTGAATGTCTAACAAGCTATATATTTATGACCTTGTAACCTCGCAGATCATAGTCTTCCTGAATGCTGAAACGTCCAACATATTATAACTTATTCTGTGAATTTGTATAGGGT